TTATGCCAAGCATATTTAGTAACAATGCATTTTGTTTAATGTTATGTAAATATTTATGTTCAAAGTTTGACAGATAAGTGACTCGGTAAGACGTTATCAGCTAACGCAAAACGATTTGCATGCGTAAAGTCAGAATTGCGAAATATGACCTTTGTCACGGCCGCGAATTTGCGTAAGGACATGTAGAATGCAAGAGGCCTACGAGAGGTCAGTCTTATGGATGGCGATCACTTCCGTGATGCATAAGGAATAATTCTACTTAATACATAATAGTCTTATCGTTTAAAATAAAACAATAGTTTCACTAAAGGACACAATCAAATCGATGACATTCATTCGTGCAAAATCCCTATTGCCCCTTCCATCGCCGCTGCCAGTGTTGCCATTTTTTTAAAGGTTCATCGAAAGCGATAATATTTTCTATAAAATGACAATATAATATCTCATGCTAACATATGTACGTACGTGAACTGAAATGTAAATACGTCACTAAATGACAATAAACATCCGTAACCTTTTTTTTGAATTGTTATAACCCTTTACGCGTGGAGTTAGAAAACATTGCGTTGTAATAATTTGTTACAAAAAAGTAAAAACAAATATAGATATTACGAGTACATACATGGCGTTAATGGGGTTAGTATTAAACTTTAAAATATTATTGCTATAAACTGACAGTAACTTGAACTACTTATGTTCGTCAATCTATTATTTCCTATTTGTGTAGATTACTTTTCAGCCGCCCCTCGTACTTATTCAAAGTCAATACAGTCCTATAATGAAAAAACCATCGACACGTTAAGAAGAAGGAGACGTCCCGCCGCCAAGCACGGGTCTCTTTCAGAGATAAAATTGTACCATCATGGCAAATAAAGTACTAGGAGCACATAATTACGAAACAGACCATGCAAGCCGGGGTGTAAACGCACACCGAAACCGCAGCCGATCTCCGCATTTCTCCGCTGCGCGCGCACCGCGCCGGTTTACGTAACAAGGGCCGTCGCCTGCGCCTACGAGTGCAACGTTTGCGCTAGGCTATTGTTTTCAAACACGCAAAATATAGCTTCAATGTGTGTCTAAAAACATTCATTCATCATAAATCACATTCATTGATAATCCTTATTTTAGGGTGTTACATGCTGATTTCTACAACAAGGTATACATAGTGATTACAGAATCCTATAAAACAAATTATAGCATGATTGTAGCTTTTTTACAAAAAAAAATGTTCTCAAAAATTTTTGGAATTACGTCTATTTGCCACGTTTTATTAAAATCGGTTTTTGTTTTTTTTTCTAATAACAAGTGACGGGACGAACAAGTCGTGCTCCTGATGGCAAGCGACACGCCTGTCTTCTTGAAGTAAAGATCTGAGGGGCACTGCCACTACGTCCGTCACCCTGAGGCATAAGTTGACAAGTCCCATGTGCCTGTAATTTCTACCACCCATTTATGTATTACCAACACCCTTAATGCTCACATTACAGCTTGGTGGCAGAAATAGAAAATGTGGCAGTACTTCGCTGGACGTACTCTTTCACAAGGAGCTCTACTGCTACCGAATGGTTAACGGAAAGTGAGTGGAACCCAGTAAACCGGATTCACGCCCTAATTTGCCGCCTTTATAGATGGAATATTTTTTTCAAATTTGAGTGGTACCGCCTTTCCAACAAAAAAGACTCATCGAAATCGGGTAACAAATGTCGGAATAATTGCGTGACATACACACAAAAAATACAGACTCCTCCTCCTCTTCCTCCTTTTTTGAAGTCGAGTTATAAAAAAGTGACAAATAATGCCGTACCAAAAGTTTGACATATGTAGTTCTAAAACTCAATATAATTTACATTTGAACTTTTAAATTCAAATAACACTTTCTATACATACACTTCACGCCCTCTTGCCATCGGGGTAGGCAGAGACCACAGCCTTCCCTTTGCTACGATCCTGACATACATTTTTCGTATCATAAACATGCTTCAAAGCTTCCATATACGCTCATCGCTTAGGCACACTTGACCAGGACTTCTTTCATTTTAATAATAATGACACACGTACTCATAGCCCCGCGCTAGGGAAACCCTGTGTCACGCGGGGGTGTCATGGACACACACATAGACAATCACAAATTATACCCAAACTCACGAGAGAAATAAATGTAGGCCATACAAATATTTCTCCCGGCCCGGAATTCGAACCCGGGACCTCTGCGTGGCAGACCAACATGGTAACCGTTCGGGCATACAAGCAGAGGCAAAGATCAGAAAGTAATTGGATGTAGTTTGTAATTATATTTTTACGTCAAACGCACGTATAGTATTTTTTTAGGTCGAATATTTTATCTATCTCAGGTACTATAAGGACAATAGATTTATTATAATTTTGTGATATCTTTTGGAGCTACTCGAGACGCGTCAGACAAATACTATGATTAAAATGTAGCGAGTTTCAAAAAGGGTCTGAAAAACAGCTTAAGCTGAGACTCTATCCTTTTTATCTACACAGTATCTATAAGTGATGTTATTTACGACTAAATTGTTTTGTAAATGTAGATAAATAAAGTTCTTTATTATTATTCTTTATTATTATTATTAGTTATGTAGTTTCTTTAGGACGTCCTCAATTAATTAGTCGTGGTGACCCATTTTTACCGACTTCAAAAAAGGAGGTGTCAATTCGACTGTATTTTTTTTGTATGCATGTTGCGCGATAACTCCTGCCGATGTGAACCAATTTTGATGATTCTTTTTTTTGTTGGAAAGAGGGTACCTCAGAATCGGTTCCATATATGTGAAAAAACTAACTTGTCAAATAAATGTAATTACAGAACTTTTGAGGTCGTTTTTTTATAATTGATCTAACCATACAGATATCTCAATAAACATGGATTAAACTAATTTATATGCTTTTTAAAATTGAATTTCGTAAAAAAACTTTTTAAGCCAGAAAGCCTGGACCATGCAGATCGGGGCTTGCGCATAGAGCGTGTAGAGGTAAGCATGTATGCTATTGTTTTCTAATGCCCAGTTCTGAGTAAATTGTATTGCAGGTTCTATGTACGAGTATATACAAAGCAACACATTGAACTTCTGACCGTGTGCAAAATGATGATAGATGCCAGTGTTCCTTTTTAAAAGTTCATACAACCTCGAATGGCTTTGGTTGTTATCGCATAACAGTGAAAGTGTTGTATTAGTCACTTTGGAAAAAATATGGTGTGAAAAGAAAACATTGATTCCTAAAAATAGACACGATAGAAAAAAAACACAAAGTTACCTCGAAATTTTCAATGAGGTATTCAATAGATTTTTTACATATACCTATGATTTTTTTTATATCAACTGAACTAAATAGAACACGTATAGACATTTTTCAATCACTTTAATTCGTTTATAAAAAACTGAATTCTGAAATAAAGCCAATGTCTCTGCGTGTCGCCCAAGCAAAATGAACCTTATTATTACGGGAAAAAATTTAATTCAAGCTGACTACCTCAGCGGTTGACTCTTAAATAATGAATCTTTATTTTTAAACGATTTAAAAAAAATCTGAAAGTACAATTCGACTGTTTTTTTTTGGTGTGTATGTTCCGTGATAACTCGGCGTTTGTGAACCAATTTCGATGATTTTTTATTGTTGGAAAACCTCAATACGGATCTCATTTAAAATTGAAAAAAAAAAATTAACCCCTAAGAGAGGCAAAGTAAGGGTGGAAACCGTTTTACTGGATTTCACCCACGTTCCGTTAACAGATTTCAATAAAACTTGTCAAATAAATATAATACCTGAAAATTTTGAGGTCGGTATTTCAAATAAAAATTATAATAAACTTTTTGAAAATCTATGAAAATATTTTCAGGTAATAAACAGCGTTTGGAACTACCTATTTAAGATAGTACTAAATATATAATATAAATTATAATAATATTAAACTAAATATATAATAATATTTAAAAAAAGATGTTTGATAACACGTTTCACAACTTTCCAAACAAAAACAAAAAGGTGATAGCTAATGGCAGGCGATCAAATGAAATAGTACAACAGTAATATGACGTACGAAACTCACTACTAAATATTGTGTTTGACCGATTGACCAAGTGACAGCTGAAGTGTTTATCTACTTCCCGCGAGGTCCAGGCCTGGAGCGCACGCTAAATAAGATACATATAATGAGACCTTAGGCCTAGGTGCGTCCAAACTTTAAATCCGGCCTCAAAGAGACGACATTTAGGTACCTGTCTACGTTTTACAATTTATTATATTTATACCTACTGACCCAAATTCCTATCAATGCGATTAAATTGTTATATTTATTATAATTTTTAATAGGTCCATAATTGTGCGGTCATGCGATATTTATAGAATAGTGCTCTATGCACACTCAAGTTATACTTAATTTTGTTATCTGGTTATTATTGTTCCATGCATATTTATTGTAAATAGACAATATTGCATCACTGGTGTAAATAAGGCCACATCTGCAAAATGACGACTTTTCTGGACAAAGGCTTAAATATTCTACCAACGATACACACCTATATTCCACAATACATTTTTAAACGTAAGAACTTACGAACTTTTTAATGCTTAACTTTTTAATCACTTTGGAATCACTTTTTATTAATATGCGGCGTGAGAACACGATTTCCAAAAATTTTACAAACTTACCTCGAAATTTTACAACAAAACCGCTGTATTCAATTACTTTTCTTATAATAGAACACGTATACCATACGACATACATTTTTGAAATGACTTTTTGAAAGCCAGTGTCCCTGCCACTCGATCCTAGCAAAATTGAACCGTAATGGTAGGGGGAAATTTTTTATCGCTTATCACCTGACGGTGATAAACGACACGCTTTATACAACCAGTTGCGGTGCCACTTAGAGCTTTGCA